GGAGACCCCCCCCGCCTCGCCCCCTCCCTGCGGCCCCTCTGCTCGAGGGGGCTTCGGTCACTTCCGCCAAGCTCCTGCTTGCCTTCTAGCGATTTCCCTGGCGGTCAGGCAGCCAGGACAGCTCGCTCCGGAACCCACTAGGCCAACACGGGCTGCTTGGGTTTATGGTCCAGTAATATGTTCAAGTGCTTAAGGAACCGCCAGCCTTTGTCATGTTTCTTCATCGGCACATCCTTAAACTCAGCAGTGTACGACTGTTCCAATTGCTGCTTGTATTTGCCCACACTTGGTATAAGCAGTCTTTGAAAAATGAGTTATTCTAGGGCTAGCGAGGTGCAGCAGTCAGTGCTGCACACGCCTGAGGATCTGAGTTTGATCGCTATTACCCATGTAAAAATGGCTGGGTGTGATAGTGCTTGTAATCCCAACACAGGGAAACCTGAGACAAGACAGATTCCCCAGGCCTCTGGCCAGCCAGACTAGTCTAACTGGCAAGAGTCAAGTTCTGGTGAGTCTTTTCAAAAAACAAAACCCATCAAGGTGGATGGCGCCTAAAATGGACCTCTAGCCTCCATATGCACACACACTCTCTGCTGAAAATTTAACCCAGGGACTCTTGTATGTTAAACATATGGTCTCCCAGGGAGTAGCACTGGGTCCCACCCCTCTATTTCTTTAATTGTGTTAGTTACTTGTCTTCTGTTGTGACAGAATACCTAACAAAAGCCACTTAGGAAGGGTCTATTACTATTTTCAACTGGTTATTAGATGTGGGTTTTTGTTGTTGTTTTGTGGTTTTACAGACAGGGTTTCTCTGTGTAACAGTTGGCTGTCCTAGAACTTACTTGAACTCTCTGAGATCCACCACCACACACATTGTGTTCTTTTGTTCTTTAAAGAACGGTGGTTTGGGGCTGGAGATGGGATTACTGTCTGGAAATGGAGATAAGGAACAAGAATCTTGTGGACCAGGTTGGAATTTGTGTGATGGAGCAGCCATTGAATTTTTTTTTAAAGATTTTATTTATTAATTATGTCTTCTGCTTGCATGCTAGCAGAGGGCACCAGGTCTCATTCAAGGTGGTTGTGAGCCACCATGTGGTTGCTGGGAACTGAACTCAGGACCTCTGGAAGAAGAGTCAGTGCTCTTAACCGCTGAGCCATCTCTCCAGCCCCAGCCATTGAATTTTTAAGTGTGTTTCACTCTATTTTAAAATGTTTTTTGCACACTTGAGTGCACTATCTGTGGATGAGGGCATGGAATCTCCTGCAGATGTAATTATAGGTGGTTTTAAGCTGCCAGAAGTGGGTGCTGAGAGTCAAATTTTGGTCCTCTGCGAGAGTAGTATATACTTTTTACATTTTATGTGCACTTGTGCTTTGTCATGAGTATTGGGTCCTCAGGAACAGGAGTTACAGACAGTTGTGAGCTGCCATGTGGTTGCTGGGAATTGAACCCAGGTCCTCTGGAAGAGCAGTCAGTGCTTTTAACTGCTGAGCCATCTTTCCAGCCCCAAGAGTAATGTATACTCTTAATTGCTGAGCTGTCTCTTCAGCCCCAGGGGCAGCCAGTTTTAAATCAGGACAATAAGCTGAAGGGAACATTCAGAGAAGTTGATGTCCATGAATGATGATGCAGAAGGGAAGGTGTGGGGACCCTGGAGATATTTTTGAGGATATGAACACATTTATTATTGCTATAGTTGAGCTCTCTGGAGTCAGACATGTCTCTACACAGGTCCAAAATTGCTCAAAAGAAAAAAGAAGTGGTGTGATGGCTCATCTTTTCAGCTTCATGGGTGTAGAGTCACCTTGGAAACCAAATGGCATGTTTATAAGGGAGTGTCTGCATAGGTTCATTGAGGTGGGCAGACCTGCCCTAAAGGTGGGCAGTCCCATTCCATGAGTCAGAATTCTTGACTGATTGAAGAGGAGTGAACTGAGTACCAGCATGCATCACCCTCTTCCCTTGACCACAGATGCAATGTGACCAGCTACCTCAAACTTACACCATGCACCTGCCCACCATGATGGACTGTACTCGACCTTCCAGTCACAGTAAACACCTTCTTTACATTTCTTTTCTTTTTTTTTCCTGAGACAGGATTTCTCTGTGTAGTTTTGGAGGCTGTCTTGGAACTCAATCTGTAGACCAGGTGGGCTTCGAAACCACAGACATCCACCTGCCTCTGCCTACAAAGTGCTGGGATTAAAGGAGTGCTCCACTACCGCCTGGCTCTTTAGGTTTCTTTTCTCAGGTATTTGTCAAAGCAGTGACAGTTAACTAATGCACATGGCATCAGCACCACTGTTTCTAAGACTACACAGAGGTTTGGGCTTAATTCCTAAGGAAAAAGGAGAAGCACCCAGGCTTCTTTATCAGCTGATCTTTATGTAGATGCACAAAGAAGAGGTAGTCTGAGGCTAATGCCGTCTTCAGGGACGCTGGAGAGATGGCTCAGTGGTTAAGAGCACTGGCTGTTCTTCCAAAGGAACAGAGTTCAGATCCCAGCACTAACGTGTCAGCTCACAACCTCCTGTGACTCCAGTCCCAAGGGTTCTGACACCCTCTTCTGACCTCTGTGGGTATTGCATGCAAGTGGTATATACACATACATGCAGGCAAAATGCCCATACACATAAAATAGTAATGATAAAATAATAATTAATAAATAATAATAATAATAAATTAGAGTCTAGATGGAGAGATGGCTCAGCATTAAGAGCATGTGCATCTCTTCCAGAGGATCTGAGTTTGAGTCCTCGTACTCATGTCAGGCACTTCACAACTGCCTGTAACTTAACCTTCAATTCCAGGGGCATCCAACTTTTGTATCTGTGGGCATCTGTACTCATGTGCACATATCTGCGAGCGCGGGCACGCGCACGCACACACACACACACACACACCGCTTGAGCCATAATCTTCATTAGAATTCACTGATATTCAACTGACCCATTCTATTTCACTTAACTGAATTTGAATTTGTGAAAAGTGTCCCAGATTACATATTCTGAGAAGTGAATATTGGGGCTGGGGAGATGGCTCAGTGGTTAAGAGAACTAGCTGCTCTTCCAGAGGACTCAGGTTTATTTCCAGCACCCACATTGTGGCTCACAACTGTCTGTAACTCAAATTCCAAGTGGTCTGACACCCACTTCTGGCCTCTGTGGGCACCAGACATGCATGTGGTACACACACATACATGAAGGCAAAACATATATATATATATATATGTGAGAGAAACGAATAGAATGCTTTGTTCACTATCAGTAGTGTTTGGAGTTCAGGACACGATGGGGATGCTTAATGTTGAAGCATCATTTGTAGTCTTGACACTGTGGTCCTGAGCCACTGTGCAGTAAGACATCCCTAGAGTTCTTCACAACCAAAGGGCAAGTCTTAGGAAGTATGCAGATAGGGATATTTGCAGGCTAAGGATTCCAGTACTAAGATGATGTCCTTGAGTTTGGCCAGATGTGATCACTTTTGTGTGTGGTTGACCAGAAATGTCCCACTCAAGGAGAGGAAAACAGCCACTTCTTGCTGAGCTGTGCTGTCCATTCAGTTCACTGAGCATCTCAAGGTGCTCTCTGGGCAGTCCGCAAGTACGGCAGGGCAGGGGGAGGGGGAGTCCTGCATTATTGTGCCATTAGCATAATTTGAACACAAGTCAGTTTTTCACTTGGATTTACATGGGAGCTAAACTGAATCCATAAAAAATTCAGAACTTTCAGCTTCCACATAGTGGGTCTATAATCAAACAGAAGAGTTGTTACTATTCATGTCTCCATTTTCCATTTAAAGAATTTTACGGTTTAAAATTCTGGAGTCTGGGCTGGAGAGATGGCTCAGAGGTTAAGAGCACTGGCTGCTCTTCCAGAGGTCATGAGTTCAATTCCCAGCAACCACATGGTGGCTCACAACCATCTATAATGAAATGTGGTGCCCTCTTCCCCCTTCTGACATGCAGGCAAATGTGCAAGTAGAACACTGTATACATAATAAATAAAATCTTTAAAAAAAAAATTCTGGGGTCTTCCCAGGCGGTGGTGGCACGTGCCTTTAATCCCAGCACTTGGGAGGCAGGGGCAGGCTGATCTCTGTAAGTTCGAGGCCAGCCTGGTCTACAAAGCGAGTTCCAGGACAGCACAGACTGTTACACAGAGAAACCCTGTCTCGAAAAACAAAGAAAACAATACAAAAAAGTGGAGGTCTCCTACCTAACACGGAAAAGGGAAGCAACTAACAGGGAACCCAATAGAAACAAACAAACCTAATTGTTACAAATTAACTACATAGCTACTATGAAAGTAGAAAAAGATCCATGCAAGTCACAAATACAGTATTTTCACAGTGTATCACTGTGGAATGCATTCCTTGGAGCAAAACAGCCACTATCTTCAGCAGAAGTGCTACAATATATAGGGGGATGCAATTGAAAAGGGGTTCTATCTATGCAGTTGTAGGGAAGCTATCCTCTACGATGGATGAAGATTGATTGGTAGTGTGACTCCTATAGAGTCACCCATGCTCCTTCCAACAACCCTTCACCCATGCTCTATAAGTGAGCCCAGTAACTCACCACCTTGGATTAATTTTAGTGGAATCATAGTTTTGTTTGTCATTGGGCTTTTTTTTTTTCTTCTTTTTTTTTTTTCTTTTAAGCAGGATTTCACTGAATTAGCCTTGGCTGTCCTAGAACTCACTCTGTAGATGAGGCTGGACTCAAACTCAGAGATCCACCTGCCTCTGCCTTCTGAGTGCTGGGATTAAAGGCGTGCACCACCACCCAGATGTCATTGGGACTTTGTGGGGAGCAGGAAAGTGTTATTTCTCCCCAAGGGGAAAAATATTATCACAATTCTCAAACCAGTTGGAAGACCTGTAGACAAATACTGAACAACCAATTTTGTTTTTGTTTTTGTTTTTTAAATCAAAACAGGGATAATAGATCAGTAATTCTGAAGTTACATGCAAAGACTTAAGTCAATATACTGAAGATACTAAGAATGTATTTCTGTTAAAATGAGAATGCAGTTACAAATATAGAAAGAAGGAAAAAAGGGCTGGAGAAACGGATCATTGATTAAGAGCAATGGCTGCTCTTCTAGAGGTTCTGAGTTCAATTCTCAGCAACCACATGGTGGCTCATACCAACTGTAATGGGATCTGATTCACTCTTTTGGTGTGCATGAAGACAGATCACTCATATACATAAAATAAATAAATATTTAAAAAACTAATATAGAAAATAGGAAGAGTGGAGTGAGCTTTGGTGTTGGACTGTTGTCTTCTGATATACTGACTGGTAAGAGAGTTGCCATTTATGGGGCTGGAGAGATGGCTCAGAGGTTAAGAGCACTGCCTGCTCTTTCAGAGATTCTGAGTTCAATTCCCAGCAACCACATGGTGGCTCACAGCCATTTATAATGAGATCTGGTACCCTCTTCTGGCCTGAAGAGATACATGCAAGCAGAATACTGTATACATAATAAATAAATCTTTAAAAAAAAAAAAAAGATGGCATTCATGCACACTCATCTAATTCCTAGCTCTCCGATGAGTGGTCTGTTGTGAGATCCTAGAAACTTTCTAACAAGCACTTAGATCTTGCTTTCTAAAATACCTTGTTCACAACAGGGATGAGGAAGTCCAGGGGAAAAGGACTCACTGCACATGGGGAAAGGAGCATATAGGATGAACTTGGAATAGCTTGCCATGCCAGAAAGCAAAGGAAAGGCCAAAAGATAACAAGATATGTACAGGACTCTGAAGTAGTATGAAGAACAAGTTTCTACTGGTCAAATCTGGGACCATCTGAGTATCACAATACATAATGAGAATTACATACTCACTAAACAAATAGGAATTAATGAACCCATACTGAATAAACTGATAAATACATGGAGAAGGTGAAACTCTTTCTTTGGTAATAGAATTAGAAGAATCATGATGAGATACAAATAAGGTAGATATTGATGAGAAACATTGTCTATGGTAGTTAAAAAGGAAAATAATAACTTCACAGTGGAGAAACTTGGAAGTTAGACAAGCCTGAAGGGCATTATCTTAGTGAATGATATGGGAAAGAAAGACAGAAAGCAAGCAAGCAGGCTGAACCAGTAAGCAGCACTCCTCCATGGCCTCTGCATCACCTCCTACCTCCAGGTTTCTGCCATGTTTGAGTTCCTGCCCTCACTTCCTACAGTGATCGACTTCAATGATGGATGTGGAAGTAAAGCCAAATAAACCCGTTTCTTCCCAACTTGCTTTTGGTCATGGTGTTTCATCACAGCAAGAGTAACCCTAACAAGGACAGAGTCTCATCGTTCTCAGGCAAATACACCACATATTGATTAGATTTCTAGTCACAAAATATTTCAATTCCTTCCTGCAAGAACGTTGAGCCTCTCTTCAAAGCCTGACCTTGAGAGCCCCCTGTGATAACAAGGCATCCATTGTCTTATGGCAAAGCAGGCTAACTTTCTGAAAAGGTTCAGAAAGTGAAAACTTTAGCTTTTGTGGGGCATATGGTATCTATGACAACACTCAATTCTGTCATGCAAAAGCTGCTGGACATTTGTAAGCAAATGGGCATCGGTGTGTCCCGATAAAGAGGATGGATTTGGTCTGGTTGTGGGTGTGTCCTGTGACACTCTGTCTAGCTAGTAGCTGATACTTATGACCTCTCTGGGGACAGATATGTTTGTGCTTGAGCTTTCTCCCTGCTCAGAGCATAGAGGCACAATTTTCCTCTGGGAAACTGAAGAGGTTAGTGAGCTAGTATCCTGTGTGTGTGTGTGTGTGTGTGTGTGTGTGTGTGTGAGTACCAGAAAGTGTTGGGTCTCAGGCAGTCCAAATATCCAGAAACCATCCTATAGTCCAGTTTGCGAAGGGTTTCAGTATCAGATGTATGCAAGGGGGCACAATAAAGAACCTGCCAATGTGACAGCTCCATTATTAGGCGTAGGGATTTTATTGTGCGTAAGATACAAAATATTCAGAGACATCTGGAGGAGTTGAGAAGTGAGAGAGAGAGAGAGCAGCCTGGACATGGCCAGTGTAGGGAAGTGGGAGAGCGGGAGAGAATGGTGGAGACAGGGAGGTAGCAAGAGAGAGAATAGAGCATAGGGAGGACAGGGAATAATGAGAATGCCAGGAGTCAGGAGAATTAGAGAGCTGGGCTTTGAAATGTCTCACAACTACTTGCTGAGTAGGGACTGAGGGACCCGGGAGGTGGCATGGGCTTTGATATGCAGCCACAGGTACATGCCAATTTCAAGACATATGTTCTTCCTGCCAGAGGTAAGGGAAATGACTCCTTGTAGCAGATGGGAAATGGTTTCACAAGTTCCTAAGGAATGTTAGCTTTTATCTAACCAGCAGAAGTTCTATAATCCAGTGTGAGCTCATTTCTGGACATCTGGTTGCCTAAGACTGAACAGAAAGTACTCCAAAATGATACTGAACACATGTGTGAAGAGATCAAGAAAGCTTTGAAGCCTGCAATGGTGGCAGGCGGATCTCTGAGTTTGAGGCCAATCTGGTCTACAAAGCAAGTTCCAGGACAGCCAGGACTGTTACACAGAGAAACTCTGTCTCGAAAAACAAAACAAAAGAAAAAAAGAAAGCTATGAAAAAAGTGGCTTCTGAGGTCCTGCTCCAAGACCAACAAAAGCTGGGGGATTGGGCTTGAGGCACAGCAGAGCAATAAGGATGAAGAAGCTAACCTGACTAAAGATATGAATAAAAACAGGACAACAGGAAGATCTGGTGTAAGATACAGGGCGGGAGGGAAAGGAAGCGGAGTAATATCTCCAGGGAAGATGGCAACTGGACTTGAAAAACCCTCATGTTGGTCTTATGTAAACAAAATATCATTAATAAACACTAAATCAGAGGTCACTCTCTATGACTAATTGCTAAATGAAAAAATTACTGAGGTTATTTTCAGCTAAAGGTCACACTACCTTTTTGTACCTTTTGATTACAATAACAAACTGTGAACATGAAACCTTTGTCATCTTTTCCTTCTAACCAACCTGAGTATGTTTCAAACCATCAAATCAACAAAATGCAAATAAGAGGTCACATGAGTCAGCAGCGACAGCAGAAGAGAGCCTCAAAGGTTGTTTAAAGGAGGGCTCTAGGCCTTGTGGCAGCTGGGTATAAACACAGTGAGCCTGGCTTCAAGTCTAGGAAGGGGAAGGCTGAGACAAGGGCCAGAAGAGTCTGAGAGGAACCGTGGCCCAGCTCTACTCTTCCCAGACTCCAGGCTACTCCTTTGTGTGAATTAACTGGTGCTTAACCAACTTTGACCGCTGGCTGAAAGCTTTCCCACAAGTAGAGCAGTCATAGGGCTTCACACCAGTGTGAGTCCTTTGGTGCTGGATGAGCACTGAGCGCTGATTAAAGGCTTTTCCACACTCACTGCACTGATAGGGCCTCTCTCCAGTGTGGATTATTTGATGTTGAATGAGATGTGAGCTCTGGCTGAAGCCCTTACCACATTCGACACATGTGTAGGGCTTCTCCCCAGTGTGAACTTTCTGGTGGTGGATAAGATTTGAACTTCGGTTGAAGGCTTTGCCACATTGGCCACATTCATGAGGTTTTAACCCATTGTGAATCCTCCGGTGCTGAATGAGCGTTGAACTCTGGCTGAAGGTTTTCCCACACTCAGTACATTCATAAGGTTTTTCTCCAGTGTGGACTCGATGGTGAAGGATGAGGTTGGAACTTCGACTGAAGGTCTTTCCACATTCGTGGCACTTATAGGGCTTGTCTCCAGTGTGCACACCTTGATGCTGGAGGAGGGCTGAACTGTGGCTGAAGGCCTTCCCACAGATACTGCACCTGTATGGCTTCTCTCCCGTGTGAATTATTTGGTGCTTCCTGAGCACAGAGCTGTAACTAAAGGCTTTCCCACACACACTGCACACATGAGGCTTCTCTCCAGTGTGAATTCTCCGATGCTGAAGAAGACTAGAACTCTGGCTAAATGCTTTCCCACAGTCATTGCACTGGTAAGGTTTCTCTCCAGTATGAACCCTGTGATGCTTAACGAGGTTTGAGATTCGACTGAACGACCTGCCACAATCATTACACTCATACGGTTTCTCTCCAGTATGAATCCTCTGATGCTTCTGGAGGTGTGCACTCTGACTAAAGGCTTTACCACAGTCATTGCACTCGAAAGGCTTCTCACCTGTGTGAACCCTGTGGTGTTTAATGAGGTTTGAATTCCGCCTGAAGGCTTTCCCACACCGGTTGCATATATATGGTTTTTCTTCAGAATGGATTCTTTGATGTTGGACGAGGTTTGAGCTCCGCCTAAAAGCCTTTCCACATTCACTGCATTCATAAGGCTTTTCAACCATGTGAGACTTCTGGTGTTTTTTAAGGCTTGAGTTATGGCTGAAGGCTTTCCCACATTCCTTACACACATAAGACTCATTGTCATGGTGAACCTGATCCCTTGCAAAGTCTTTATGCCCCTGAAAGACTTTCACACACTTGCCACGCTGGCAGGGTTTCACATTTTGGTAAGATTGCCAGTGTTTTTTAAGAACAGAGTTCTGGCTAATGGCTTTTCCGCATTCAGAACACATAAAAGACTTTTCTCCAACGTTGGCTCTCTGATGCTGAACAAGGTCAAGGTTTCCTCTGAATGTTGTCCCACACCCAGTACATATGAATGAGCTTTCAAGTGCAGGAAGCCCCTCCTGGCCAGTTAGGTCTGAACTGTGCTGAAAGTTCTCTGGAGAGCAGCATGGATGAGGCCTCTCTTCTGTAGAGATTCCCTGACACACTAATGGACTCGGGCTCAAACTGAAGTTTTTGTCAAAACCATTACAAATCAGACCTTTCTCCCCTAAGGGGCCCTTAAGGAACATGGTCACTAGTGTGACATTTCCCTCCCAGTAGAGGGGCTGTACCAGGCTCTCACCTTCAAAGACATTCCAGTTTCTTCCTACTATTTCATCACAGAGCCCTCCAAACTTTGAAGACCGAGAAACGTCACCAGCACAATTGTCTGGTATTACTGCCTGTGATTCCAAATGGTCAGAAATGTGCTCCTTGGGATAAAACTTCTCAGTACTGCCATCTGAAACAATAAATACTAAGTCAAAGGAGGGACTGTGGCTGGCACAGGAAAACACATCTACAGAACTAATGGCCTCACATATATGGAGAGAGCAACAGAGCAGGGAAGGCATGGAAGGACTAGGAGAGCTGCTAGGTGATAGGGCTACACTGGAGCTGAAGGCTCCCCTACTGGTCTCGCTGGGGAGTACTCCCCTAATTGCTGCACATACACAATAGCTCTGGACTTTCCTCACCCATCTCTACTGTCTCCTATATTTCTTGGCTATTTTTATATCTATCTATCTATCTATCTATCTATCTATCTATCTATCTATCTATCTATCTATCTATCTAGGTTTTTAGAGACAGGGTTTCTCTGTGTAGTTTTGGAGCCTGTCCTCGAACTCACAGAGATCCACCTGCCTCCCGAGTGCTGGGATTAACTATGTGTGCCACCACCACCTGGCTGACTTGTTTCATTTTTATTTAATGATTTACTTGGGTGAAATTCACATATTAATCATTCTAGAGAAGACACTCCAGTGGCATTGAGTACATTCCATGTTGTGCAACCACCAACTAGCTAGTTTTCTCTTTTCTTCTCTCTCTTCCTCCCTCCCTCTCCCCCACATTTTTTTATATTCAACTATTTATTTTTTAATAAAGTGTCATTTTGATTTTTTCCTCTTTTGTGTGAATTTATTGGATGTTTACTTAATACTTACCATGGAATTATAACAAACATCCTAAAACAACTGATGCCAAAAACTCTTCTTTATATAGCTGTTATTCTTATAATTTGTTATCACAAATTCTATATTTCTATACTTGACTCAATAGGTTTATTAAGCTAGAGGTTTAGATCAGTGCAAGAGTACATACATACTCAGTATGTATAAAGCGCCAGGTTCTATCCTCAGCACTAATATGTTTGTATGTATGTACGTATGTATGTATTAACATATTTATTTGTTGTGGGAAATAAAAGTGGATTCACAAATCCAAGAGAGTAAATAGTACATGTCTGTAATTTGGAAGTGGAGGTAAGATCATGAGTTTGAGGCCATCCTGGGCTATAATGTGAGATCATATCTCAAAACAACAAAAAGTGAACTCATAAACCAAAATAGTACTTAACAAAATCCTGTCAACTCAACCCCCTTCAGCAATTTCTTAGAGGAAAGGTGTATTCATGACAATCGCTCCATAAAATACTGTTTATCTGGGACTGTCTTAACCTCTCCTTCACTCTGTGCCTTGGTTGTTAACAGATTTCTAGGGTGACAAGGCTATTGACACTTTAAATATGTCTTACTAGTATGGTCTTTTGATTATTAAATATTTGGCTGTTAATCAATTTACCTCTTTCTGAGATATTGGTGTCCCTTTGTAGCCTAGTTGGACCTCAAACTTGCAGGATCCTCTAGCCCCTCACCTGCTGGGATTATAGATGCAAGTCACCATGTCCCACTACAATGTGGTAATTGCTAATTACTTTCTCATCAAGTTCAAATTCTTTGCCTTCCATCAATTTAATTATAATGGAACTTTGTGTGAATTTCTTTAAATTTATCCTACTGAGTTTGTTGGGCCTGGACCTATAAACTGAGGTATTTCATCTAATTTGGGATATTTTCAACCCTTACTATACATATTTTTACCTCTCTCTCTTCTCTTTCTTGGGTCCACAGAATACATGCTCGTGTACCTGATGGTGCCCTACAGGTCCAATAAACTCTGGTCACTTTTTGAACTTTTCTCTTGTTTCTCAGAGTGGACAATGTACCATCTGAACTTGGAATTTCCTCATTCTTTCTCCTCCCTGCTCAACCACTGTTGAAATGCTCTAGTGAATTTTCATTTCATTTTATTGTGCTTTTTGGTATTAGATTTTATACTAGGTTCATTTAAAAAAAATGTTCCTCTTTACTCATAGTCTTTTTTCATTAACAATTTTTCTCTTGGTTCCTTTAATCTCTGCTCATGGTTTCATTTATTTCTTTGAATGCATTTAAGGTAGTTGCTTAAAGTCTCTATTTACTAAGTCTAATATCTAGGTTTTCTCAAGGACATTTCATAGGGTTTTTATTTTTTTGCCTTTGAATTGCTAATAATTAGATTTTTGTACAGTATGATGTTGCAATTCTGCCAATAAGTCTCCTCTTTCAAGGTTAGTGTTTGTTTTTGTTTTTTGGAGACAGGGTCTCACTGTACAGTCTTGGCTGACCTGGCCTCGAACTCACAGAGACCTGAGTGCCTGGACTGAAGGTGTTCAACATTAATCCTGGCAAGGTTTACTTTACTTGTCCTTGCTTGTGGAAGACTACCATAGTTTATTTGCCCAAATTATTTTTACAAGGGCTATTCCTCATCAGGTATATTATGTGGCCACAAGTATCATCCTCAGACATTGTGGGCAGATTTTTTTTCTGTTTCTGCATTTTCTAGGCATCGAACCTAGTAACTTACATGTATAGATAAACACTACCACTGCACGACTCAGCTACTGTTTCAACCCAGATTTCCTTAAATATCAAGAACCAAAGTAATACAAAACTTTCCTGGTTTGTAAATTAGCTCTGCCCAGGGGCACTCCTTTGATAGTATGTTTTGTTTGTCTGTTTTTGTTTTTGTACAAGTAGTGCCTGTGGAAGTTGGAAGAGGGCTTTGGATACCTGGAACTGGAGTTATGGATGGTTGTGAGCCACCATGTGAGTGCTGGGAATTGAAACCAAGTCCTCTGCAAGAACAGAAAGTGTTATTAAGTGCTGAGCCAAAAGTGGCTTTTAGAATGTGTGTCAAAGCAAAAACAGAAACAAAACCAAAACAATATGAATCTCTATCAGTAAAGGCCCCCAATCCCACTCCAGAATCATGTTGTATTTCTTTTTTTTTGGGGGGGGTAAGGTTTTTCTGTGTAGCCTTGGCTGTCCTAGAACTTACTGTGTAGATCAGATCAGGCTGGCCTTGAACTCAGAGGGATTTACTCGCCTCACCACCACTGCCCAGATGGGTGTTGTATTTCTTATCCTTCTTTGCTTAACACTCTCAGCAAGGACCTCTTGGCAACCGACTTAACACCTGGCCTCTACACAGTGAGGTCAGCAGGTTTGCTCTCAGAGCCACTCTGGGACCTTCTCATATCGTCTCCCCACCACTTCCCCCATTTAAGACGAAGTCTGTTTAGCCTATGCTGCATGGTCTGCACCATCTCTACCCTTAGCCTAACTAACCATCCTTTTTTGCATTGGTTCTGGATTGGGTGTTTGTACATGGCCCCAAACCTTAGCACGACTGACTCCATGACAGAAGTCCCACTCAGACTGTAAAACTCAGCACGTAGAGAGAGACCATCTGCTATAACTAAAACAAAGGCCTAATCCAATCAAAGTCCATGTAGTTCTAGAAAAGTCTTGAAAGTAATAACATTGCTTTTTAGCTTCTGTAGTTCTGCTTCTGGTAAACTGTTCTTGTTAACTGAAGTATTTCAACCCAGAACATTGTTTTTGCACTTAAAAGCTCCCCCTGAGAAAGGACTGGGCTACACTGGGATCCCAAATTCCCAGTGTAGTCACTGGCTGGCTAATAAAGACTTCCTATTGGCTTAAATTCATGTCTGAGCCGTCTTCCCTGGTGAATACCCCACAACAGTGTTCCCTTAAGAAACCATCTGCTACCTGACTAGAGCAAGGGAAGTTAATGCTGAGGAGCCACCCTGCTTACTGCTTACACAGGCGACCTGGGAAGGGCTCTGAGTGGGGACAACAGGGTGAGGTGCACGTAACCAGGAGAAGGTAAGACAGTCACAAGGCACAAAGCTGTTGCCAGCCTACTCATGGGGTCAGGCCTGCAGGGTAAAGCAAAGGTGCTGAACCAATTCCCAGTACCTGGCCTCCTGATGGTGATGGAGGATGGCTTTCAGCTCAACAACTGACAGCAGAGGGGGCCCACAGACAGAAGATTCACAGCAGGAGTGTCACTCATATGGGCTTGTGCTGCAGGAATTCAAGGAGATGGTCCTGGAGCCGAGGGCTTCACCCCTCTGCCTCCTTGGGGTACACTCTGAGGCTGGGACCTGAAGACCAGAGCGGACACAGTAAGTGTACACAGAACACTGTATATATAATAAATAAATAAATCTTTAAAAAAAATAGATTCACTTATTTAAAAAAGAAGAAACCCTGTCTGGGGTATTGTGTGTGCCAATAAATAAATAAATAAATAAATGTGTTTCCTGCATACCAACTCTATGGCTTGTTTCATGGGGTGACAGAGCAGGGAACACTGCCCTTTCACTGGGATAAAAAATCATAGTAAATGCATAAGTGAGACAGGGCAGCAGAGGTGTCACAGAAGGGGTACTTTAAAACAGGAGTGGTAGAAGGGGCATTTCAAACCAGGAGTGGTAGAAGGGGCATTTCAAATCAGGAATGGTAGAAGGGGCATTTTAAACCAGGAGTGGTAGAAGGGGAATTTTAAAGCAGGAGTGGTAGAAGGGGCATTTTAAACCAGGAGTGGTAGAAGGGGCATTTTAAACCAGGAGTGGTAGAAGGAGCATTTTAAACCAGGAGTGGTAGAAAGGGCATTTTAACTAGGTAGTAAGGCAGGTCTTAAAGAACAGGTGACCTAAGATGATGAAGGGAAAGAGGGATAGGAGTGACGGAAGTGGGGAGTGCAGAGGCATGCAAGTTAAGTTCCAGAAGCAGTGAGATGATCAGGGTGGACAGAAAAACCAGGAAGTAGAGCACACCCTAGAGGCATTATACTAGGTCCCACAGGCCTGCATTCTGATGCAGGCTCTGCAGCACAGGTCTACGAGGGCTGAAGGTGAGTGGAGGGCAACACAGGTATACTCCACCCTGCACACACCCTGCTTAGGACAAGCTGCTCAAAAGCAGTGTCTTTGGTCAGTGGGCTCTTCTTTCTGCTTCCCCCAGGAGGGATGCTTTGTTCGGCTGAGGATGAGAGAAAGCTGAGGAGGCTATCAGGAGGTACCACCTGTGTCATCTGTGGGGTGAAGCATGGTGAAGATGATCTAGAAAGGAACTGAGCAATGGCTTCTCTCAAGAAGGGTGGCAGGAGGATGGTACAGGGAGCAATGGTGGGATGCTCTGAGAGGGACGAAGGGCTGACAACTGCTGGACTAAGGTCAGGAACCAACAACCAGCTGTCGGAGTGAGGTCAGACAGCACTCAGAGGGAGACTCAAAGAGGCCTTCACTGCCTGATGAAATAAGTCACAGTTCATATTTCTTTACCAGGAGAAGCAAAACGAAGCCTCTTGTGACGGTTTAAATGAGAAATGTCCCCCATAGACTTGGTTTGTGAACACTCGGTTTTTGGTGGTCCTGTTTGGGGAGGGTTAGGTAGTGTAGCCTTGCTGGAAGAGGTACATTACTGGGGATAGCTTTGAGACTATACATTTTCATTCCACATTTGGTTCACTCCCTTTGCTTTGTGATTGCATTTGAAGATTCAAATTCTCCGCCTCGCGTTGCAGTTGCCATGCCTGACACTGGCTGCTATGCCTCCCTGACATGATGGACTCTTTATTTCTCTGGAACTGTAAACCAAGATAAATTCCTTCTCATATAAATTGCTTTGGTTATGGTATGTTATCACCACAACAGAAAAGATATGAATACAATTCCCCTTCCTAGTTTCTGGTGTATCCGTCTAGATCACTCTAGACTTACTCAAGCAAATATACACTTTTTGGTCCTTTTTGTTATCAAGTATACCAAAGTGTGCACCTGTTTTAATCATCTCCTCCAGCGGTCACATACTTAATCTGTGGTCGGCCATGTCTTAATCCCTGGGACCCGTAGATACACTACATCACCAGGTGTGAGACACTTTGTGGAAAGAATTAGGATTAATGACAGGATGACCTTTATGGGTCCAATCTAATCACAGCAACCAACGTGTAAAGGCCCTAAGTCAGTGTTAGTGCCCAGATGTGCAGTCACATTAGGAACCTCCAGGAATTACGCAGCAAATAAATACAAACCTCTATAGCAGCCACGAGGCAATCCATCTTGCCAATGGCTTGAATAAACTTAGAAACAAAATTTCCTGGTTAAAGGCTGAGCTAACTGAAAGACCCACTACTATCACACTACCTTAGCAGGACTCCCGCCCTCTCTCTTCTAGAAGCCCCGTAATAGCTACAAAATTCTTTCTTGGAACCGGCTCCACAGATCCACCGCCGTTGGGTATCAAGGACAGAAGACCGGAGTGGGCTAAACCCGGGCTGTGTTCTTCTCTAACGTCAACTGAGTTCCCAAGTCCGGAGCACCTTCACCGCAGTCCTCTCAGGCCCTCCTGGTCCCAGCTCCATCACAATCCCTCACACACCTCCTCACAGACCCTCCCACGCCGCCCCTGCCTCAGTTCGAACCTGCCCTGCTCTGTGCGGCTGAGTGCGCATCCCCGCCGCCGCCACGCTGGGGACACCAGATGACGGTCCCCAAGCGGAGGATTCTCGAGTGAACTCACCGTGGGAGTCGCGTTGGCCACCGTGTTAGCCCAAATCAACCGCAACCAGCCCGCCAAGTCCCGCCCGACTTCCGGCTCTCGGCCCCGCCTCATGCCCCTCCGCAAGGCCGCTCTAGGCCCAAGAAAATTCTGGCGACTCGATGGTTCAAAGCTGTCCCCTTGCTGGTGTAGGCGGTTTTAAGGATCCAGAGCACACACGAAGTTTCAACATAGTAAGAGAATACGACCAAAAGCATGGCAAGAACTAAATATACCGGGATAAGGGGAGATTTTAATTTAAAGACTCCAAGAATTAGAGCAGGTTGTAGCTTGGTTTAAAAAGTAACACGGATGGGATGTAGTTCACTGGCCAAGAGATTGCCTAGTGTGTGCCAGGCTACCTTCCATGTCTCCACCCATGTCTCACACTGGTAAATGAAAAATAAACACATAAAAACGAATGAACAATTTGACAGGTGAGTGAAAACAAACAAACAAACACCAAATTCCTTAAACAGGTAGTTTATTTTTTGTAGGGGTGTTCATAGAACGTTTACAAAAGTTAATTGTATGCTTTTTTTTTGTTTTGTTTTTCAAGACAGGGTTTCTCTGTGTAGCTTTAGAACCTATCCTTTGTGTGTGTGTGTGTTTTCAAGACAAGGTTTCTCTGTGGCTTTGGAGGCTGTCCTGGAACTAGCTCTTGTCGACCAGGCTGGTCTCAAACTCACAGAGATCTGCCTCTGCCTCCCGAGTGCTGGGATTAAAGGTGTGCGCCACCACTGCCCAGCTATGCTGTTTTTTTTTTAAATAGGCATATTAGACAAAAATTGTTACTATACAAAATGTTCACACAAAAAGCCCTGTTGTAGTTCCAGAAATACTGGGTAGATAACCTTATAAAAATTACCTGGAAAATCACAGACTATAAAGTGAGAAAAAGTAAACAGGGTGCTGGAGAATGGCTCAGCAGTTAAGGGCACTGGCCGCTCTTCCAGGGCACTGGGGGTTTAATTCCTAGCATCCAGATGACTGTTCACAACTGTCTGTAAATCCATTCCCAGTAGAGGTGCAGCCCTCTGGCCTCCCTGGGCACCAGGCAAACCAAGTCCTAAACATTCATATATATATATATATATATATATATGTGTGTGTGTGTGTGTGTGTGTGTGTGTGTGTGTGTATACAAAACACCCATGCACATAAAATTAAAAAAAAACAATTAAAAAAGTAAACACTTTGGGAGGCAGAGGCAGGCGGATCTCTGAGTTTGAGACCAGCCTTGTCTATAAGAGCTAGTTCCAGGACAGCCTCCAAAGCCACAGAGAAACCCTGTCTCGAGAAAAAAAAAAACATAAATAAATAAATAAATAAACAAACACTTAGGCTGGTGGGTGTGGTGGCTCACTCCAGCACTCAGGAGTTAGAAGCAAGTGGATCTCTCTGAATTTGAGGCAGTCTGGTCTACAGAGTGAGATCCAGACAAGTCAGGGGCTGTTACACAAAGAAATCCTGGAAACCCTGTCTCAAAAACAAACAAACCAAACAAAAGGAAATACCTCATTCTCAAATGTGTACTCAAGAGAAAATTATTTTTGTTTATGAAGACAAATGTATTTACCCTAAGCTAGTATTTTTTGACTAACAACAAACAAATACACATGGAGACACTCTCAGGGCATGTACTCGGGTGTGTATATGTGCATTGTGCTTTGGATGAGGCTCAGTTGTTAGAATGCTTGCTCAACAGGCACAAAGCTTTCTCTTGGTTAGATCCCCAGCAATTCATAAACTCACCTATAATCCTAGCCTCAAAGAAGTGGAGGCAGGAGGATCATAAAAGGATCAGATGTTCAAGGCTATCCTTAGCCATATGGTGAGTTTAAGGCCAGCCTAGGACACAAGACCCTATTTCATATCAATCAGTCAGAGGCTGTCGAACTTTGTAGGTAAAGTGCAGACATGATGACCTGAGGTGGATCCCCAGAATCCTTGTAAAAGTGGGGTTTAGTGACATGCTTGTAATCTCAGTGCCAGGAGACTAGTGCACCTGAGGCTTGCTGGCAAGCCAACCTAGCCTAATTGGTTAGCCTACATCCCAGTGAGAAACTCTGCATCGAAAAACAAGGTGGGTAGTGTGAGATGCTCAGTGGGTGAAGGCACCTTCCACCATGTCAGAGGACTCAAATTGAACACTGGAATCCACGTGTTGTCGAGAACTGACTCCCTAAATATCTTCCTGTGACTTTTACATGTGTGCCATGGTATATATGAGTATACATGCACACATTCACACATACACTCACAAATTTTTGTTTGTTTGTTTGTTTTTTGAGACAGGGTTTCTCTGTGTAGCTTTGGAGCCTATCCTGGCACTCACGATCAAGACCAGCCTGGCCTCGAACTCACAGAGATCAGCCTGCTTCTGCCTCCTGAGTGCTGGGATTAAAGGCGTGTGCCACCAACGCCCGGCAGATACACTCACAAATTAAATAATGTAATGAGGAATGTAATTTTAAAAAGAGTAAAACCGTAGTTTGCGATAGTTTGAAAGAAAATGGCCCCCAAAAGTAGTGGCAATATTAGGAGATGTGGCGTTGTTGGAGGTGTTGTTATTTTGTTTAAGTTTAAAAATATAAAAAGGGTGCAAGATGAGACGTGAGAACCAGAGATACATTAACCATAGAGTTTTATTCCAGTGGGGGAGGGGGAGAGCGGTAGAGAGAGGAAGGCAGGAAAGAGGTGAGAAAGAGAGCAAAGAGAAGAGGGCTTGAGAGTAGGAGAAGAGAGAGTAAGTGGCAGGGGTCTGTCTTTTAAAGGGTCCTTTACATCTGCGGGCAGACTTAGTTCCCATGGAACCCTGGGCTGACCAGGGTACTGCCTGAGTGGCTTCTGCCAGGTAACAGGGCCAGGCCAGCATAATGCCTGAACTTTTCAGGAGGAAGTGTGTCACTGTGAGGACAGTCTCTTTTGCTCAAGCTTCCCTCAGTGTGAGTCAGCCAACTTCCTGTTGCCTGAAAGACATAGCCTCTCAGTTCCAGTATCACAGCTGTCTGCACGCTGCCATGCTCCCTGTCATGATGATAATGGACTGAACCTCTGGAACTGTAAGCGAGCTACCTCAATTAAATGTTTTCTTTATAAGAGTTGCCATGGTCATGGTGTCTCTTCACAGCAATAAAAAACCCTAACTAAGACATAGTTATATATTAAAACATAAACGAAGTGGATCCCTTCTGAGGAATGATACCTGAGAATGACCTCAGTTCTACACACACACAAAGAGCTACTCACCCCAGAAAGGGAATCCATGACAGACCGAAGTTACGACTGCACCAACTTGGTGAACTAATGAGTTTTTGTTGGGGTTACTAACAGGAGTATGAGTGAAGGGTTACTTACAAGGAGCAGGGATGACTCAAAAACTACTGCGCCATTGGAAAATCCTACTCGGGGGAAGTGAAGCCCTGGAGCTCTCTGGATAGCCTGTAGGCAGTTTCAAAGACTGAGAACCCTCTTCACATGGGGTTGTCACTCCTTTTTATACAGCTGGCAAGGACCTTTCTGTTTTCACAGACCTTTTGTTTTCCTCCAGAACCTCACAAACTTCCTCATTCCATCCCGTCAGGGATTCTGAGGAAAATACCATACAACAGTAATTATGGGGTGTTCCTCAAGATTTGAAAAGAAATGTACCAATAATTTGGTACTTGTAGAAGATAAGCTCACAGTGCTAAAAGGGACTAAGACAAGGTTTGTTCTGGAGCCATTTTGAGTGACCATGGCCCAGGAACACAGGTTTAGGTTGTCCTAAAATCCATGTTCTAAGGTGGAAACAGGTTTCACAAGGCTTTAGTTTTACAGAACAATGAAAGTCATAAATCAAGGCAAATTTACACTGGTGGATACACCAGAAAGTTACAATGAGATGGGGAAACATTTCTATAGGCCCAAGATGTTACTGAAGCTTTGGGGTTAGTGGAAGTTAGTGGTCTGCTAAGTAAACAGATTCTAAAAGGTCTTTTATCTATTATTCACAGCAAGATGTTAGTTCTGACAGAGATGGGCAAGGAGTAGCTGTTCTAGAAGTAGTCCAAGATAAGGTGATTAGCCACTAGACCTTCAGCATTCCAGTATCTCCATATTACTGTAGTACTGTAAATCAGTCTGCACACAAAGCTTCTTTGTTTTATTGGATTTATTTTTATTATTTTATGTATATGACTGTTTTGCGTGCATGTACGTCAGCGCATCACATTCGGGCCTGGTGCCCTTGGAGGTAGTAAGCCTCCATGTGGGTGCTGGGAATGGAACCCAGGTCCTATGTAACAAGAAGTGCTTTTAACCACTGAGCCAACACTCCAGCCCCTCCCCCTTTAATGTCTATTTTTTAGTACTTATGTTTTGTGTGTATGTGTGTACACCCACGCGCGCGTGCGCCCCGCCCCACCTCTGGGCTTTCTGCCCCGCCCCGCGGGGAGGGAGGGTTGTTCCATCCCTATCTCGCCGCGCATTCGTCTGGTTTCTCAGCGATGCACTCTGCTGGGTTCTCCGAAGCCTCCACGTTTGTTCCTGCGCTCTTTCTGTCCGGATCCTCTCAGAGTTGCAGGCCCAGATCCACGGAGTGCTCCCCGCCCCTCCCGGAGCGCTTGCCCCTGCTACTCCGCCTGCAGGGTCCGCGGCGCCTTCTGCGGAACTCCGGGCCATAGACGCATTTCCGGAGGACTGAGTTCACTGTTTTAGTCAGGACTTCCGGTCACCGCTACGGCGCATGGCGGTGAGCTTTGGAAGAAGGCGTTTGCGTGGCGAGGCCCTGGGTGTGGGGCCCCTGTGAATTTCCTCCTGTTCCACGTTTTTCAGGCGTTAGGGCGTCCTGCTCGGGAGGCACCAGCAGCCTCAAGCCGGAGAACTCAACGCGCTGCGCGCAGACCTCGGCTCCCCCGTCCTGCTTGCGGTGCCGCAGATCCGCCCCTTGTCAGTTTAGTGCAACCTGCTTGTGACTCTGCCACCAGAGCACATCCCACAGGCAACACTGTGTCGATGAAGCAAAAGAAGAAGAAAATCCCGAACAGGGTCTCTGGGACAAATGGAGACGGAAAGATCTCCGAGAAACCTGTCCTAGACGAAGCTCCCCCCAGTGCTGAAGCCCAGGTAAGGGTGGGATTCCCTGTGAGCTTTCTGGGTGCTAGCTAGTCCTCCTGAGAGTGTGGTCTAGTTGTGCGGAATTAAGGCACTGAAGGGATGGGACTGGCTGGGGTCTGCCGAGTCCTGATGCCTATGACAGCCATGACCTTCTTTCCACCCCAGGCGGAGCAACTGGCGAGGGAGCTGGCCTGGTGTGTGGAACAGCTAGAGCTGGGACTCAAGACGCAGAAACCCACCCCGAAGCAGAGTGAGAGCCCCTTCTTTATAGTTAGGGAAATGTAAATGGTGATAGTGCTGTAGCCTGATGGTATTGCCAGGGGATGGAATTGTTGCTTTTGTAGGGAGTATGTATGAAGTTACCAGCTCCTTATTTTTATCTGCAGAAGAGCAGGCTGTTGGGGCAATCCGAACCTTGCGCAGTGAAAAAACCCCCCTGCCCCGGAAGAGACAGCTGATGCGATCCTTGTTTGGGGACTACAGGGCTCAAATGGATGCCGAATGGCAGGAAGCCCTGAGGGCTCTAAGGACTGGTGAGGAACCGGGAAGTGATTGATTCAGTTTATGTACTTCAAAGAGGTAGGGAGAAGCTCAGCTCAGCAAGGTTGGTGCTGGAGGAAATGGGCACAGGGAAAACCCTAAGCAGGAAGAATGTATATACCTTTCTGGGCTCCTGGAATCAGGAGAACCCTGGTCCTCACCTTGTTCTGTTTTTGGGGTGGGAAAACCCAGCTCACCTGTCTAGGCCTTGGTTCACTCCACTGACCACAAAGCCAGGTACCATGGGTTCAAATCCTGGATCTGTTATTTAGATCTTAACAGTTTAGCTAGTTACTGGGTCTCTGAATCTCATCAGGGAATGACAATATCATCATTATAGGAACATTGTGGGGGCAATCATAACTGCATGGATATTGTTAACTGTTACTCAGTTCTGACTCTTCGCTCCACCTTCCTACAGCTACCCATTCAGCCCGAGTACAGCTTGTAGGAGAGACTGCCAGAAAGAAGAGTGGAAGGGTCTGTAGGCCTCGTCCAACAGGAAGAACCAAGGCCACTGTGGACTTTCCTGATGAAGAATTTCGGTTCAATTTCTTTTAGATTCTCCTACATTCTGGACTAGTCATCCTCCTCCAGGGTGGTGTGACCATTTGTCTTGAATATAGGGGTCTTTCTATGAACTCTTTTGGCAGAAGTAGGATTGCTTTGTCTCTAATTGGTTTGTGGACATGAAACTGCTGCCCCGGGTGAGACTGTCCTTGAACTTCTCAAGGAAATGTTCCTCCTGTCAGAAGAGAGGTGCTTTGGGAACTCCTCTGTGCTAAGCCTGAGTGTTGAGTGGATTGCAGGAATTGTGCTCCAGTCTCTGGGAATAACTGTTGGTGGTAAGGAACTGAAGAATCTGTGTACTTTTGAAAGGATCAACCTAATAAATATGTTTTTATTTTTTTAAAAAAATAGGTGATGAATGGAAGCTTGTGATGTCTATGGTGGATGGAGTTAGGTGGGGCAGGGACTGCCTTTACTTGGTACAGCTCTGATGTCAGGGTTTAGGTCTTTGTCCATGTTGTCTCTTTTTCTGAGGAGGTTGTCATCTTCAGAGAGCCAGTGTGGCCTCCATCAGGCCATCATTTGTTCTTGAGCTGCATGCTTTAACTTGAACTGTGTTTTAGCAGACTTGTGTCTTTTTTTAAAAAAAAACCTTTATTTATTTGTGTGAGTGTGTATGTGTGTGTATGAGCATGCTAGGCACATGTGTGTAGGTCAGAGGTTTAACCTCTCAAGGATTAATCTCAGCCTCTAGATTTGGTGGCAGTTGCCTTTACTCACTAAGCCATTTTGCCAGCCCACACACTGCCTCTTTATGGGTACTGAACCCTCTGCTATACTGAGTTGAGATTTTCAGGTGTTCACACCAATGTAATCTGGTGTTGCCCAAAGTCAAATCCCAGACTAGATATAATCTGGAGTCCAGCTGTATTCAACATTTTCTGTATGAATATTCTGTGAGCAGTTCAAACTCAGAATGTTGCAGAATACCTAATTAGGCCCTGGGTCTCCCTTTCCTTTTTAGTCAGTGATATTCACTGCCTTGTCTAGTTGGTTATTAGGCCAGAAACCTATGTCATTCTTGATTTCTCTCTTTTTCCAACACTATGTATTCAATACTTAGTGTTATCGTAGGTTTAGGAGACAGTATTAGTGTGTTAGGGTTTAGAGTTTGGGTTATGGTTGGAGGACTAGATGGGTTAAGGTGTTAAGGTTAGCTGAGGGTTAGGGGCTCTGGTCTGGTTCTGAGGTTAGGGTTATTGTGAATATTTATTTAAAAAAATATGTCCCTGTCTTTCCTCCTACTGGGTTGCCTCGTCCAGCCTTAATAAGAGAGGAGGTGCCTAGTCTATTACAACTTGATATTGTGGCTGGCTGATATACATGGGAGGCCTACCTTTTTCTGAAGAGAAATGGAAGAGAACTGGGGGTAAGGGAGAAGAGGGGAGACTGAGGGGAGGGACTAGAAGGAAAGGAGAAAGGGAAGGGATATGATTGGGCGGGAAAAAATTAATTTATTAAAAAACACTCATTAGTTTTTTGTTTGTTTATTTTTTTAGAGTTAGGGTTTCTCTGTATTGCCTTGGAACCTGTCCTGGAACTCGCACTGTAGACCAGGCCGGCCTCGAACTCACAGAGATCGCTTGCCTCTGCTTCCCGAGTGCTGGGATTAAAGGTGTGCACCACCACCACCACCACCACCACCACCACCACCACCACCCCTTGTTTTCTGAGACAGGGTTTCTCTGTGTAGACCAGGCTGGCCTCAAAAGAGAGCTGTCTGCCTGTCTCCCGAGTGCTGGGATTAAAGGCATGTGCCGCCACCACCACCTACCTGGCTATCATCTGTTCTTTTGTTCAGATACCATGGAGACCCCACTGGATGGACTCTTACTAGTCCACATTTACAAAGAGGGAGGCCAGTACAGAGGGAAATGGCCTCAATGCTCCTAAGTAAAGCTGTAATCAAGCAAGACCTTTGCTTCATTCTCAACTTGAAATTACTGATATAAAAGAATAAAAAGCCAGGCGGTGGTGGCCCATGCCTTTAATCCTAGCACTGGCAGGCAGATCTCTGTGAGTTTGAGGCCAGCCTGGTCTATAGAGCTAGTTCCAGGACAGCCAGAGCTGTTACAGACAGAAACCCTGTCTCCAAAAACAAAACAAAAACTACTCACCAAAGGCAACTTGGAGAGGAAAGAGTTTATTTGTCTTATATGTCCTGATCACTGTCCACCACTGAGAGAAGCCAAGTCAAGAACTGGAGGCTAGAACTCAAACTGGCCATGGTGGCAGTGGGCTGGGCATTCCACCTCAACCATTAATCAAGAAAATGTCCCCACAGACTTGCCTATAGGCAGATCTGGTGGAGGCATTTTTTTCCCATTGAAGTTACTTTTCCCCAGATAATCCTGGCTTGTGTTAAGTTGACAAACTAGCCAATAATTGACTCCTTGTCAGCTTGACACACAAGCATCAGTGCCAAATAACTTTTCCTCTTGTTTATCTCCAAGATCTCATGTTAATAACACAATGCATTAGAAGGCACCAAAATGAGTCAGATGTGTTGATGAAAATGAAGCAATTTCTTCTTGGATTAGCTTGACCAAGAGTGAGCCCAAATTTTAATTCTCCTCTTCTCTCCCTGTGTCTGTTATTATTGGCCTTGTCTGCATCATATGTCTGATCTGTCTGTCCCTATTGCCCATGCCTGGTCCTAACAAAGTGCTTTGTTCTGCCCACTCCCCACCCCCGGTTTCTTTGTGTAGCTCTGGCTGTCCTGGAACTCACAGAAATCTACCTGCCTCTAACCCCAGAGTGCTGGGATTAAAGGATGTGTGCCACCATGCTCTTCCGTATGTCTTGAACAGCACAGAAAAGAGCGCATGGGAAAAGAAATTGTTTTGTTTAGTTTTTTTGTGACAGGGTTTCTCTGTGTAACAGCTCTGGATGTCCAGGAACCCTGTAGACCAAGCTGACCTCCAATTTAGAGATCTGCCTGCTTCTGCCTCTTGAGTGCTGGAATTATAGGCCTGCGCAAAACAACGGAAGAGGTTTTTGTTTTTGTTTTTGTTTTTGTGTTGGATGAGTCTCACTATTTTCATTTACCAAACCATGCAACCTAGACAGTCTTGAGTTTTGTAAGGATTCTTATCGCTGTAAAGGTGACTCAGAGATCAGAAGAGCCCAATCTGGGCATAGATGCAAAGCCTCCAGTGCAATTTTGCCTTCCCTCTGTGTGAGCCTGGCTCAGAGGACACTGGGATGAATAGGGATGTTTTTCTTCCTCCTCCTCCTCCTTCTTTCCTTCCTTTTTTTTCTTTGACACAGGTTTTCTCTGTGTAGCCCTGGATGCCCTGGAACTGTAGACTGGCCTTGAACTCAGATTCATTTTCCTCTGCCTCTCGAGTGCTGGGATTAAAGGCCTGCACTACCACCACCTGGGTCTTCTTTCTTTTTGGGTGGATAGATGGTTAGGGCATACCTTTTCCCTTTATACAAATGCCTTGAAGGAGCATAAATGAAAGGGTAAAGCTGGCATGGTGGTTTGGATAAAAACAGCTTCTTAGGGAGTGGCACTATTAGGAAGTGTGGCCTTGTTAGAGTAAGTGTGGTTTCGTTGGAGGAGGTGTGTCACTAGGGGTGGGCTTTAGGTCTCAGAAGCTCAAGCCTGGCCAGTTTGTCACTGTGAGTTCCTGCTGCCTGTGAACCCAGATGTAGAACTCTCAGCTACCTCCCTCCCCCAGCACCATGTCTCTTACAGCAATAGAAACCCTAATAAAGACAGCTGGGCTGCTTCTTCTTCTTCTTCCTCTTCCTCTTCCTTCTCCTCCTGTCCTCTTCCTTCTCCTGCTCCTCCTCCTCAGGGTTTCTCTGCCTGAGTGCTGGGATTCAAGGCATGCATCACCACCACCCCCTGGCCAGCTGGGTATTTCTAAAGGTCAGAGCCTGAAGACAGCAACCCCTGTGTCAATCATTAGGTTTTTTTTTTTTTTTTTGGTTGGTTGGTTTGGGTTTTTTTTGCTACTTGCCTTTGGTCGTTTCATACTGCAAATCCTTGTACCGTTCCAGTCCTTAAGTACACAGAAAAGGTAAAGAGTTTGGCATTGCCCTAAGGTTTGTGTTTAGGGCATCGTCACATGCCCCTCTAGAGAGCATCTAAAAGGACCCATGGTCCATAAAGGAGCCAGGTGTGAAGGAAGGAATTTCCACTTAGCAATACATCAGAGTCCCCAACACTGCTGAAGAGTTGTTTCCCCCAGGAATCCCAGCACTGAAAGTATAAGACAGAACGTAATAACTTCAATACTATTAGAAGTTATTATCTATCATTAGTTAAAATGGGAAGAGCTTTGAAATACTTAGAATTCATTCTTTTGAGCCCAATGAGGTCTAAGTGATAGGACATTTCACTGCCAAATTTAATGCCAGCTTATATTCTAGTCTTCTGAGTAAAAGTCAGTGCACCAAAATCTTTTTTCTTTAAACACAACTAAATTTTGTTTTATGGAGCCAAGAGACATTAAGCTGCTAAAACACATGCTTTAAACATTGAATATGGAATAGCTGTCTTCTGTTTCTCAAGGGGAAAAATGCACTGTTTAAATCTTGCTTATTCATAATAACCCAAATTTCTAGCAGCCTTATGCATTTGGAATTGCTCCAAACCCAAAAGAGGGGAGAAGGGAAAGGAAGGGGGGAGGAGGGGAAGGGAGGGGGAGGAGAGGAACAGATGAGCCAATAGAAGGCAAGCCAGCTTTTAGAAGTAGACCTGAAGCCCTAGCAACACAGAAGAGAAGTTGGAGCTTACATCTGATTGGCTTATCAGACAGAATGAATGCTGAACTTTGATTGGCTGGTGATGATGTCTCAGCCTTTTGTAGGAAAGGAAATTTGTCTGGCATAAGCACGGGAGGTAGAAGAAGCAGGCAAGAAGAGTGAAGAGATGGGCAAATGAACAGCAGGTTGTTTGTAGCAGTGGTGGCTGCTGAGATGATAAAAACATCTATTTATGTAACTGCTTACAGTTTACAAAATGGGTTACATATACTCACTGATATTGTCTTCAGAAATACCTTCAAGGCCTCCATAAGTTAAAAGATGTCCCTCAGGTTACACAGCTAGTAAGAAGAAACAGCTTGGGCATCTTAGCTCAAACCCATGGTCGGTGGCACTATAGATTCTCTGGAAATAATAATTTGGAGACATTCTGAGGGACAGAGAGTAAATACTTTGGTCACAGAAAAGAACATCGTAAGCCGTATCAGATAGGTTAGTGGGATGTGCAGAAAGGGCAAAGGGCCCCCTGCCCTTTACTACAGACCTTGAAAACATCACCCAGGGGACATCTCTGTGCACATTAGCAAGAGGGACGATTGTGGTATAAATGAAGCTTGTGTCTTGAGTGCTGAGAGTGAACAGGTTTCCCTGGGATGGCTCACAGCCCCCTGATGTATACACTGGAAGCCACCTCTTTCTCAAGCTTACTCAACAGCACATCCAGTTGTTCCAGCTAAAAACTGGCAAGTCATTTTTGTCTTAACTTTCTCATCACACAACACCTCAACGCCATTTCTGATACTTTAATCCAGGTTGTTTATGTCAGACCCCCTAGTCACCATTTCCTCCTGAGCCACTGTAATCTTTTGATTCATTTCTCTGGTGTC